CTCGGCCTGCGTGCGCGTCGCGTCGCGTCTCCTGACGGGGTCGTGAGGCTGGCCACACCTCGCAACCACGGGCGCTGGGATGAGGGGAGAAAGGGGAGGGGAGGAGGGAAGGGGCGGTAGAGGGGCGGGAGAGGGGCGGGGAGGGAGGGAAAGAGAGGAGGGGCAAGCTAGGCGCGCTCGCGCCATATCTGACATCCGATCCCTCCTTCCCTCCATTCCCATATCCGCGGACGCGTGTCACAGACGACCGGGAATTCAAACACAGAAGGAGAGCTGCGCTGATAGTCGGGGGTCGTAGCTCCTCTGCGTTCGTGAGCTGGTGAGACCCCTGCGATGGGATAGGAACTGGCCCTCTATTCAGGACTGGGCCAGCCTGGCGACTCACCAGCGAGCTGTTGCTCGCAAGGTGAATGGCCATCGGAGGTAAGGCACTAAGCCTCGCAGAAGGGCTCGAGCGGTCCGCCGCCAGAATGGCTCGAGCGGTCCGCCGCGACCCTCTCCTCCTAGCCGACATGGGAAGGCCCGAACACCGTTCCCAATGGCGACCGCAGGAGAGGGCAGAGCAGCCCGTTCAAGCCATGAAAATAACTGGGGAGCCACCAGGCCTCCCTGGGCGTGGGGCCTCCCAAAGGGTGGGATACCCCTGCACGACTGACTAGGGCACACAGAAAGAGGAGAGAGGGGCGGCAGCGCGCTGCTGTTAGCGGGCCGATAAACTTGTTCACGGGAAAACCTTTTACCCAGCCCTTCCGCGCGCGTCTCCTTAGGACCTGCTGCGAACAGCGAGGTAGGGAGAGAGGGAGAGCCACGATCAAGGCCATACATACATCTCAGAAGCGCTAGCAGCAAAGAGAGGTTGCTATATGCACAAAACAAAAATGTTAATTGTGCGCTGCCTGCGCAAGATGCAAGAGGTATTGTTGGAAGGCCTGCGCAAAACAAAAACGTTACCCGTGCACGGCCTGTGCAAAATGTAGCCAGCGTTGGCCCCAAACCGTGTGTTCTAGCACGTTGCGGTGTGCAATCTATGTTGTGCCCTGCGCGTTATTCGAAATATGTTGTGCAAGCTACGTGGTGCAATCTACGTGGTGCAATATGTATTTATATATATACACATGGCAATACATATATATATATATATATATATATGCACATACATACAAATGTATACACATACGCAGTACAATACATGTGGCGCGATCTACGTGGTACAGCTGACGTTTACAACCAACTTGACACACCCCACGCTATTTAAAACATCTCACCCACCCACCCGCAACATGGTTTGCAAAACCCATGCGCCGGCGATTGCGATGATTGCTTGGCGTTGGCTGGTGCATCTCTGTGGCTGCGCCAGCCCGCGCATGCAGGCGCGCGCAGCGGCCAGCTAGTTTGGCGCGACCGACGCCGCCGCGGTGGCGCTGACCGCTGGTCACATCCCAGCGGGAACTTCACTGCGAGTCGGCGACTTGGGCGGGCGCGGTATCATGGCAACGTCGACATCTGCAGACACGATGATGACGGTAGCGATGCTGGTGGCGGTGCTGGCAACGACGACGGCACGGCAAATGACGGCGCCGATGCTGATCACGCCGACGACGATGACGGCGTCCTCGCGTCGGTGATGAAAGCTGTGGAAAATTCGACATGCGCGCGCGGCCGCCGCGCGGGAGTGGCCCGCATGGTGTCATTTGACGCGGACCGTGCCCCCACCCAGTACGCGCGCAAGGACGTTCGAATGATTTCGGAATGAGGCGCGAGAGACCCGCTTGACATAATTCAATGAACATGTTGACAAACCTATGGTTTTCTTGAGGGTTCGCCAGAGCGCAAGCTCAAGTTGTTCCCAACCATCCTGTGGTGTTGGGTCCTCGTTTTGAAGAAACGGTCCCGCGTTCCTCTCCTTTCCTCTCCTCTCCTCTCCTCTCTTCTCCTCCTCTCCTCCTCCTCGCTCCTTCCCCCCCTCCCTCCTCCTTTGGTTTCACCCACCCAATACAGGGTGTCGTGGCCCCGCGCTTGGTGGCCCCATAGGGAACTCCGCCGAAGGCCCCTGTGCTACTGCCCGCATGTGCCCCCCCCACCCAGCACGGCGTTTCGTGGTCCATAGGGAGCTCCACCGACGGCCCCAGCGCTACCGCCCGCATGCGTTCCCCCCCACCCACCCAGTACAGCGTTTCGTGAAGGTTTCTCGCGACAGCACGCGCGCAAGGGCGTTCGAACGATTTCGCTATGCGCGCGCGAAGCCACTTTGGTAGCACCTTATGAAAGTATGAAAAACCGATGGTTTTTTTGCTTAAGCAATGCTCCAGAGAACGCGCGCGCATGCTTTTTTGAAAATCCGCGTTGCGGAACCATGTGATTTTATTTTTGTTGACACGGAATCCCTTCGAAACCCAGGGGGGTGGGAGGATTTCGGCACGCGCGCGCGGCGACGCTCGCGCGTGTACTCCGTCACACGTTTCGCATGTGATTTCCGTAAACTTATGATTCGTGGTAATCGACTGCGCGCGCATAGTATCCGTTGCAGAGGATGACGGGGGGTCTGGATGCCGGCCTGCCTTGAATGCTATGCAATCATATTCAGGATGGACGATGGGGCAGAGTCGCATGCAAATCGCACATCCCCAAGGGGGGCCGATAAGTCTGGGGGGGAAAGGGAGGTATATCAAATTTTCTTTTTGACATGAGAACATACGCGGTGCAGTCTATGTGATACAATACGTATGGTGCAATATATGAACTGTGGGCTATGTGGTGTAAGCTACGTCGTGCAATCTATGTGGTGCAACCCACTCTGCTGAACTTGAAGTCGTCATCTCCACTGTTCGCGCACACATCCCACCCACACACCCGCAACTTGGTTTGTAAAATCTCTTAAGGCCGTGACGGTGGGTAACAAATCTCACTTGGCAACGACAGCGACGCCGACGACGACGGCGACAACGACGACGACGACGACGCCGCCGACAACGATTACGACGACACCGACGAAGTCTCCAACGACTTCGACGACGCCTGCAAAGACGACGATGACGACGCCGACGACGACGATGACAACGACGACGACGATGACGACGCCGACGACGACGACAACGACACCGACGACGACGACGACGACGTCAACGACGACGACGACGACGACGACGGCGGCGACGACGCCGACGCCGACGTCGACGACGACGAAGACGACGACGACGACGCCGACGCCGACGACGACGACGAAGACGAAGACGACGACGACGTCGCCAACGAAGACGACGATGAGGGAGGAGGGAGGACGACGACGGCAACAACGACGACAACGACGACAACGACGAGGGAGGAGGGAGGACGGCGACGACGCGAACGACGAAGAAGGAGGAAGGACGGCGACGCCGTCCTTCCTATGTGGTGCAATCTATGTGGTGCAACTGATTATTACCCATGATTTGACACATCCCACGCTCTTGCAAACATCCCACCCACCCACCCGCAACTTGGTTTGCAAAACCTCTTGAGACCGACTACGACGACACCGACGACAACGACTACGGCGACACCGACGACGTCTCCGACGACTTCGACGACGACGACGACGCAGACGCCGACGACGACGACGACGAAGACGACGACGATATCGCCAACGAAGACGACGACGAGGGAGGAGGGAGGACGACGACGGCGACAACGACGACAACGACAACAACGACGAAGGAGGAGGGAGGACGGCGACGACGCGAACGACGAAGAAGGAAGGACGGCGACGCCGACGACAACAACGACGAGGAAGGAGGGATGACGACGACGACGACGACAACGACGACGACGACGACGGAGACGAAATAGGAGGGACGACGACGAGACGCCGACGACGGACGAAGACGACGACGTCGAGGGAGGAGGAGGAAGGACGACCACGGCGACAACGACGACGGAAACGACCACGACGCAAAAGAGGACGACAACGACGAACACGAGGAAAGACAGAGGACGACGTAGGCGACGACGACGACGACGACGCGGGAGGAGGGAGGACGGCGACGACGACGACGTTGACGACGACGACGACGACGCAAGGGCGCGCGCGCACGCTTTTGTTGACGCTTTTGTTGAAAATCCGTGTTGCGAAACCTTGTGTTTTTGTATGTTTTTTGGACACACGATTTTGAAATCATTCCGAAACCGAGAAGTTTTGAAGGATTTCGGCATACGCGTGCACTTCGTTCCATTTTTTGCAGAGGGTTCTCGCGACGGCACACGCGCAAGGGCGTTCGACTGATTTCGACATGCGCGCGCGAATCCCGTTTGGCAGCATGTTGTGAAAATATTGAAAAACCTATGGTTATCTTAAGGTTTCGCAAGAGCTCGCGCGTAAGCTTTTTAGCATATCAGTGCTGCGAAACTATGTGTTTTTGTATGTTTTTGGAAACTCGATTGCGAAATCCTTCCGACACCGAACCTTTTTGAAGGATTTCGACATGCGCGCGCGAGGACGCGCGCGTGTGCACTTCGTCCCGCTTTTGCAAGGGATTCGTTAAAAAGTCTTAGCTAGAACTGAAGATGTCCCCGCGTATCGTTTACGAGGGAACCTCAGGGGGGCCGATACCGGTTCCCCGGGGATAGTGCAGATTCATATTTAGGATGGACATGTGGTCAGAATCAGAAATGATTTACATACCCGAAAGGGGGGCGGCGAACGCCGGGGGGGGTAGAGTCTATTCTCTTTTTAGAAAAGAGAATTAACTACCCTGCACCGCGCTTGACCACCTCCACTGTTCGCGCAACCATCCCACCCACCCACCCGCAACTTGGTTTGCAAAATCCGCCGACCCCTTGTGGGTCTCTAGGCGTGTGAGATAGTTCCCCCCCCTAACCCCCCCCCTGGGACCCCAAACCGGAGATTTGACCCCCCCCCCCCGGGCCCAGTACGAGCGCGCCACGGGGCTCTTTTGGGCCCAAAAGGGGATCAAGACGGGCCAAGAAGGCCCCAAGACGCCTCCAAGACGGCTCACGAGGGCTCCGAGCCGCCAAACGAACACTCCCAGACGCCCAAGATGCCCCCAAGACGAGCCTAGAGGC